TTCAGTGAGTTTTTTTAGACTAAAGGTGGGCTGCTGCTGTGGAAGGCAGTTCTACCCTTTGTTTGTCCTTGCATGTTGAGTTTTCATTCCTTTCCTTATACTGACCTTAAGACGACATGGTAAAATAGGTGGAAAGGAATATCCAGCTGTAAGTGAAACCTGGGGAAAGTGAGGAGGGAGGGTTCACTTTCAGTCTGTCATTAGTACTGAACTGGGAGGAATAGGGGGTGGGTAGAATTACCATCTGTGTATTTACACTTCGGCAGCTTCAGAAGCTTCAGTTTTTAGTATTTTAAACTGCTCATAAAATTTTTATTCAGAAGAAAACAAATGAAAGAAGGATGATACAGAGAAAGTCAAAGGCATAAACACAAAGATCAGAAAGCAGGAAAACAACCAATGTGAAGCAAAAATGTTTCAGCTCCTTATTCTTGAAACTGTTTTGTAAACTTAGAATGTATACTAACTGCTTCAATTTTGTAAGGACATTCCCCTCCCACTCCCCCCACTTCTTTTTTGATCAGGACGTGAAATGCAGTATGGATTCTTGGGGCAGGACTGACGCTGAAGTGGCCAGAAATCATATCAGCAGTCATATCTTTAGCCACCTTTGGAATACAATGAAGGGTAGAAAGAAGTTGTACTTAACTGTGAATCTACAACAGAATTTGGTTTTGAAAATCTGAGGTAGTTTAGCAGCTGTCAAATAAAACAAAGTAACTTGGAATAAATGAAAATAACTATGGATAATTGCAGAGCTCAAACTATCCAGCTAGGCAGCATCTCAGCTGAAAAAGCTGAAGATCTATAAAGCAGGTGGCTGCATGCAGCTGCCAAACATCATCTTAACCTAATTAGTAGTCAGTAAAGCAACATCAGAAAAGCAAGTTGCAGATGGTAGCAAAGGAAAGGCGCATAAGAAGTAACAAAAAGAGTCCTTCAGTATGTACCCTTCCTTGCAAAGTAAAACAATTTAGTGTAAATGTGAGTATAGGAGGAGGCAAAAGATTGTTGTGGGTAATTAAGGTAGTTTTGAGAAGAGAACTCTTTCTGGATAACACCAGTGAAAAGCAGCTGCAAGTTTGCTTTCATTACCAGTAGGAATGGTGATTTTTATTATGAATTATAATTCCTTTTTGTTGAAATAGAAGACTGTTCCTCTCACTCGGAATACTTTCATAGAATCATAGAATCACAAGGTTGGAAACGACCTACAAGATCATCTAGTCCAACTGTCTCCTTATCACCCGTGCCACCACTAGCTGGGCTCCGCTCTTGTCTTTTTTAACTGTTTCTTTTTCTCTCACAGCAACTTGCTCCCGTTAAAGCCCATTAATCTGCTAAACCTGTTCTTCCTAGGATATATTTATGGTAACCCTCATTCCTCAACTCTATCATATGCAGAAAAGTGAATCTGTTCCCATGTGAGGTGACCAATTTAAAGTTACTGATATGCTAATTATCAGGCTTATGGCTTGTCTGCCTTCTGGATGCCTCTCAGAATGGACGGGAGCTGAATTTTAACTGCTTTTCCTTGGATAGGTTGCAGAAGTTTGTCAGACTTTTTTGTCCAGCCTCAGATTTTAATCACTGTGTGGGATTTGTGTAGTGTTGTCATCTCTGTCTGACAAATTTGGCTGAAATTGACTCAGCAGCCAAAATTGGAGAGAAGATTTGGTGGAGAGGAGAAAGGAGTTATGGATAAGTATGTTAGTACAATGTGTGGTTAATGATGCAATCATATACATTATTTGGGGAAATTGGACGAAAGTACCTGGTCTGTACTGTCTGTGTGGTGACACAGCAGTCATCTCAGGGAGGTTTGAGGATTCTTGAGGAAATAGGACAAGTGTTCCTTGTTGGATCTGCAGAGAAGCTGGAAAGATTGAGCAGCTACAAAATAATAAAGCTTTTCTTTAGAAATTTGAGTTCCTCAAGGAGAGCTCTGATAACGTTACGTGTATGTGAGCAGTATTGATTCTTCTTCACTGTAAAGATGGGTCAAGATTTTCTCGTAGATGGATCAAGGGCATAAGTAGGCATGGTATGGTTTGTTCTGAATAATCTCTCCTACAAAACTGGAAATTAAAAGTGCCCCTTTATTCTGTCATCATCTGTGCTTCGTCAATGATACCTGTCACTTGAAGTTATCCGAGAAGACAGCAGTGATCTTACATCCTGTGAGTCACTGTAAGTTGGTAAATCAAATGCTGGCTTTTGTTGGTACTGCTTGTCATTTCTGCTTTTAAGGATAGTTGGACAGTGACATCATTGATACAAAAAGTAGCTATAGTGTCATGGTCTGAAATTGAAAAGTTGAACAAACTGCAGCATGACTGACTTTTTAACTGATCGACTTTTCCTAAAAGTTCTCTAAATTACAAGAGAATTTTGATGCTTTTAAACTTTTGGGTTTTATACACAGAAGTTGTTGAGGCTTTAGAAAGGTTTTGTTTGCTCACTTGATTCTGAATCTTAGAATACCTTTCCAGCTGAGGATTAGAACTATTTATATTGAAGTGTAATCTTGGTTAAATTAATAAATCTGAGAGAACCTGAAGTGTTCATGAACTAGATTGAGTTAGTTGACTCTTCCAGCTGGAAAGATTGGTTTAGAAAAATCTGAATGCAATAAAATAAAACATTCAGCCAGCAAGGGGCACATAGGTCTTCTGATCAGTATTCCAAATTATGAGAAAAACATGTTAGGGCATAATGGCTTTTTGGAATAATGAAAGCTGGCTTAATGTTTCTGTCCTATTTGAATATGTGTTGCATCTATCTGTAATACATGTGTGTGTATATATGTAAGTAAACAATACAATATTGTTAGTGTTTAATACAATGTAGTTAGCATTTATTTGAAAGTTAAGATAGCTCTTTTGCACAATACAGATATTTTTTGTTAGGAACAGAAAGAGAAAAATGTAAGGCAAAGCACAGTTGAAGCATTTAGAATAGTTTTCTTCAAGCATTTGCTTAATGTAACACTATTTTTTTTCAGTCATTTTCAAAGGAGAGAGATAAAAAAATCGAAGTGTGCATGTTTCTGTGCATACATATGCATGTATGTCAGAGAGCTGAATTTCAGACTTCATTGCCCACTTGGCCTTGATCTTGAACTCTTACAGAAGATTTAACAGGAATTTGCAAGAAGCATAGAAGTGTAATCAGTTAGACTATGACAGAGAAAGTATGTGGTTAAGTACTTTCTTGGCACTGTGTTGCCATTTTTTTTATCCATTCAGCAAATGTAATTTATTTATATATCTGTCAATAAATACGAGGCGGCATCCAGTAATGAGGACAGCAGGGATTTAAGCTGGAGTACGTTGCTGTGTTTGACACAAAGGTCAAACCTGGGAAAGGGACTTGAAATTAACATTTCTAGAAAACCACTTTTCCATCCACTAAGGTTATCTCTTAATTCCAGCAATCTTCTCATTTTGATAAGCAGGGAGAGCATGTATTTTGACTATATGAAGGAGGGAGGAGGTGATGAAACTTTAACACATACAAAAAAAAAAAAAAAAAAAAAAAAAGGAAGAAAAAAAAATCAGCCAACGTTGTGTTCTGCTGATAAGAGTGGGACTTTGTACAGCACAGAAGAGATTACATGCAGTAGAATTGGGACGCAAATTGTGTTTACAAAAGATGGCATGATTTTCCTAATAGGTGTTCAAAGCAGGCTATTCACTCACATATTCTGCTGAGCTTGGCCAGAAATAGCTTCATTTTAAAAGGACAAATATGATTGAGGGTTAGAAGCATTTCCCTCTCAGAGATACTTGTCTGAAGGGTTTGAATTAAATTTTCTTGATGATGGAAGCACTGTACTATTTTATTTTGCATCTGTATGAACTGGTAGTATGGAAAATAAAGATACAAATAGTGTACTTGATTGTTTTGTGTTTTGAACACTTGAATTACTAGATTTACATCTGCTACTATGGAAGAAGTGTCACAATATAATTTAGCAATAGCTGTCACAATTTTATTAACAAAATATAAATTCAACTTATTTTTGAAATTAAGGTACTGAAAATAAGTTTTAGACACCACGTGTATCTTCCTGTGGTTTTATCTTGGCTTTTAACATGACATGGTTATTTTAAAAGAATTGTAGCATGTCTAAATTCTTTTAGTTATTAGTAGAATCACAGAATCACAGAATTGAAGGGGTTGGAAGGGACCTCCAGAGATCATCGAGTCCAACCCCCCTGCCAAAGCAGGTTCCCTATAGCAGGTCGCACAGGTAGGCATCCAGGCAGGTCTTGAACATCTCCAGAGAAGGAGACTCCACCACCTCCCTGGGCAGCCTGTTCCAGTGCTCCGTCACCTCACTGTAAAGAAGTTCTTGCGCACGTTTGTGCGGAACTTCCTATGCTGCAGTTTCTGGCCATTTCCCCTTGTCCTGTCTCCACTCACCACTGAAAACAGTCTGGCCTCGCCATTCTGCCCCCCACACCTTAGATATTTATAGACCTGGATCAGGTCCCCTCTCAGTCTTCTTTTCTCAAGGCTGAACAGACCCAGTTCACTCAGCCTTTCCTCATAGGAGAGATGCTCCAGGCCCTTCACCATCTTTGTGGCCCTCCGCTGGACTCTTTCCAAGAGATCCCTGTCTTTTTTGTACTGGGGAGCCCAGAACTGGACGCAGTACTCCAGATGAGGCCTCACCAGGGCAGAGTAGAGGGGGAGGATCACCTCCCTTGACCTGCTGGCCACGCTCTTTTTAATGCACCCCAGTAAGCCATTGGCCCTCTTGGCCACAAGGGCACACTGCTGGCTCATGGCCAACCTGTCGTTCACCAACTAGAATAGAATAGAATACACAAGTCAAAGATGAAATGTGCTGCAAAGTTACTTGAAGTAGTATGCACATCTGTTGGGAAAGGTGATATTTGCCCTGTTGTAGTAAATATCAACAAAATGCAAAGTTCTCTGTTGCGTGTGTGTGCTACCTCTGGATTCTTTACATTTTTTCTTCCTCTGTGTAGATCCTGGAATTGGTGAAGGGCATGCATTACCAGCTGGCGTGTCAGAAGTACTTTGAATTGACACATGATGTAAGTAGCTAGCAGTAATTTTTGTTAAACTACAACCGTTTTGACGAATTGACTTTATTTTGAAGAAGACCTTGGAAATTGTGTATGAAATGCTGAGACTATTTGCAATTTTTATGTCCAGTGCTAGCTATCTTGCGTTTTTAGTTTTCATTTTAATAATTTCTTTTGTAATTCCCTTCATTTATATATTGATGACATACACATCATAAACATTGCAAGATACAGAAAAAGTTTGTGCTTTCTTCCTAAAATAGTCAATTCTGTTAATTTGTTTAAATGTTTTCATTTAGATATATACACTCAAATGTATTTCAAGCTGTTTAACTTCTTCAATATCCTATTTTTAAACAAGTTGTCATTTTTAACCCATCATGCAAGTTTGGTATTAAAAGGTATACCTTAAGCGGAATAGATCTAACAAATGTAACCAAAACTCTAATCTTTCAGCACTTAGAGAGTTGATGTTAATTTTCACTTGATAATTTTCTCATGTCATTTGTCATGTGTGATTAATTTTTAAATCAAGATAAGCAGACCTTTCCCTGCTTAATAGTAAGCTTCTATAAACTTTTAAATTAAGATCCTCCACAAAGGAGAGGTGTAAGATAGCAAAAGGCACTGGCACATCTTCTTCCTGATTTCTTGATTCAGCAAAAATAGTTTTCTCATTGGTTCAAGGTTCCTCACTGTCAAGAAAGAAGTAGGAGCACAGCCCTTCTTATAACTTTATTTTCTCCACAACTGAAAAAAATTGAAACATCCCTTTCCAAACATCAGAACATGAAATGATCTTGTTAAAATCTCGATGAGGATTAGATGATTTTTGCCATTGACTTTTTTGTTCTCGCTGGTTTTCACATTTGATTTGTGTGGAACTCTTTGTCTCCTCAAATTCCCAGCAATCATAAGGCTTGAATGTACAGCAAAAGTATGCTCTGAAACGTATTTAGTATTGCCTATTTCTGAGTTCACAGAGTCAGTCACAAGCTATGTCTACTTAACTGTTTTTGCATTTCTTCCCATTATCGTTTATCAAGTTTCTGTTGCATTTTATTCTCATGATTGTAACAGCTTCTCTGTTGGTTTCTGTTGTATAATGCTTGATGCTAAATCTGTCTTAATAAATCCAGCTGGATTAGAACGAAAATGTTTACAACTGTTGGAGAGTCCTTGCACCTCAATGTTTCAGGTTCAAGGGATACCTAAAAGATGCTTCTCTTCAGATTCGTTGTAAACTGGGCTTTATTAATTTAATTGCTATACCTCACCCGGATCTTTGTGTCACCATCTCACAACCACAGAAGAAAAGCAGCTATCATTTGTGTAGTCTAGTGTATTCTCTTCAGGAAGGAACTAATGTGTTAAGAAATGCACCTCTGTGCATTTTAAGTCTTTGACTAACTGTGAAAGGTACTTGCTAAGCACTACATAGAATGCATGAATAGCTTTTCATGTTCTGGAAGGTTAGGGTGTACTGCTTTTTGAGAAAGTTCTTTTCTAAATAATAGTACTGTAATTTGACCAAGAAAAGCTTTTCTACGTGTGTGATGAAAATAAGGTATTTTGACTTAATAGTCAACAGCCTTTTGAACAGCCTGTGCAGAAACATGATAGAACAAATATCATAAAAGTATGATTGGACGGCTAGATATTTTCAAAATTACAATATTTTAATAAGAATCAAGAATTATTTATTGCATATGAAACCAGAGTAAGTATTCAAAAACTACTAACATATCTGTATTTATGGGCTAATTTAAGTTATAAGGCATACCTGGAAAGCATCATAACTGCTTGAAGTTCTAGTATTTGTACTTGAATTATCAATAAGCTATTTCATGTTGATTATCCCTCTTAGATTTGTTACAATTTTATTTTGTACTGATACAAGGCAACTTAAGTGAAGAGGAAATGAGACACCTTACAAATGTAGGGAGTGTAACCTGAACTCCAAGCAAATACTACAGCAATGAGGAATACCTTTCAAGATTACAATAGCATTGAGATTTTATTTTAATTTGATTGATAAAGTTGGATCTCAATTCAAAATACAGAAAAATCAGACAAAACAGTTCAGCGATCTGAGCTACATAACATGCAGTCAAATAAAATAGATTGATATCAGCTGTAAGCTGCTAATAGGTCAAATTAATATTCCTGTGACGGATTGTCTGTAAAAAGAATTAGTGCTGTGGAATTTCATTGTACATAAATCACCATTTACTGTTTTAAGCCTCTAGCTGTTAAGAATAAGAAAACCTAACTGGCTATTGACTGTGTTAAGTTGTATTCCAAAGGAACTAGAGGTGTTAATGACGTTTGCATGAGTATTGCTGTACTAGTAATTTGCTGTAAATAAGCAGGTGATTATGTATATATTAATATTAATCTCTCAAAGTTTTATTCCAGACCACTAATGTTTTACAGTCATTGTGTGTTTTTAAGAAGTAAATTAAATCTAACACACTTAGCACTCTTTCTGCTGCCAAGGAATCACCTGGAGTTGTTTATTTTAAAAAATACATACATGTAAAAATTTTTTTCTTTGTAATTAAATGTCAAGAACATTCAACTTGATGTGGTTGGTTTATGTCATTTACTCTAGCACCATAACTGTTCCACATGGTTTATCTGTAACACCAGCTGTAATTTTAAAAGTTCTCGATTAAAACTCAAAGAAACTTCAAGCAGAGAAATTGCTGTAAAATTGTTGTTTCAGTTTCTTTTAGAACATTTCTTATAGCAGCAACTACAAAATTAGAGTTGGTCTGAAGGTCAGTATGTGCACGATGTGTTGAATCCAAGAATAGTCTTCTGATAGTATCAGCTGCTAGGTGGAATAAAGAGTTCTGTCTGAAGTGACAGATTTCTTCACTGGAATCAATACATGCTACAAGCTTAAATTTCTGACTGCCCAGAAAATACATTTTTCTTTGGACATAGTGGATTCTAGATGGGTTAACAGGTGTGAATGCATAAAACTGTTAGAGAAATCTAGTTTCTCTGTTTCTGGCAGTAAGCTTCTGGTAACTTCTCTGTAAGCTGAGGAAGGTTTTCAACTTGGTGGTATTTCTGATGTATTTTTCCCAACATTGTAAGACTTAGTCTAACATAGAAAAATTTCTGTGATTGTTTTTTAATGCTTCACCTCTATTTTTGTGTTTTACATTTGTTGTGTATTTCCAGTCAAAGCAGAATATTTTTGTTCAGAGAAATGTTCACTGAAAGTTAGTAAAAATTACATGAGGATTATTGGTTTATCACTATCACAAATGCTGATGATAATTATGAACAAAACTTCCCATTTATTTTTTCCAGCTCTCAAAAGAGGTGACTGAATAGCTAGAATTCTTTTAATAAAAATGATGTTTCCTAAACTTAATCCTCTACATCTTTATTTTAGTAACATTCAGATTTGAAAAGGAGAGTTCACAGACTCATCCTACAGTTTTAACTAACAGTCTTTAAATAGTTTTTAGCCAAATGCCATCATTCACCTCTGGAAACATGACTGTAGATTTCACTTATACAGTGAGCATGTTCTAACGTATTGGGAAGAGAGCAGTTTAAAACAAAATTAGAATTACAAAATGAATCTTATTGGTCTGAAGAGAACTGAGATTTTAAGGAAAAAAAGAACTCATTAAGGGCTTTTTCTAAATGAATAAATAAAGATCGGCTTTTTACTGTATTAGTTATTTTTAAGCCTTTTGATGTGAAGAAGTAATTTAGTAGTTCCCACACAATGGAAATTGGAACATGGATGAAAGCTGGCTGGATGAAATTTGTCCAGATAAGACTGAAATTAAATTTACTCTTGGTTTTGGATTTATTTTTGCTGAAGTGCCTTTTATTTTTGAATTCCTAATTAGCATGGTAGGCCAGCCACTTATTTTTAAGATTTTTTCAATCAAGGTCACTTGCTACAGTCACTAATATCTTTTTTTCATGCCTGAATTAGATTTTGTTGTATGTGTAGCTGTTTTCTGATGGTGCTAAAGTAGGTTGCAGCAATACATTTAATCAGGATCTCATTTTGGACACACATTGATTCTGCGCTTGATGATTTTTCACAAGTGGCTGAAATTTAAGCTCGTGGCTTTGCATATTAAATCAGACACTGTGTATATCCTCATGAGGGGGGTGTGGGTGTGTGCAGAATTACTTGTTAAGTTGGAATTGACTCCACTTCCCCCAGCTACAGCTCTCCCAGCACTGCCCCAACACAGCTCTGAAGCTCTCCTTTCCCACCGTGGGCTGTTCTTGGGCTGTAGCTCTGGCCTGGGCTGCTTCTGAGGGTATCCATGGGCTGAGACCTTCAGGTGTCGTCCGCTGCTGTATAATACAAAGGTTACATCAGAGATTGTGGTGAATGTGTCAGTTTTACAACTGAAGCCCCGTTGAAGTATTTCATGAACATTAATCTAATTTGCAATAGTCAAATAATTATGGACCTGAAAGAATGTTGGCTAAGTAGAAAAGAACAATACAAATACAGTGCTCTCTATGCTAATACTCTGTTCTTTTTCACTGAAAAGGCACCTAGCTGTTTTGTGGTATTGGTTTTGCAGATAGTGGAGTTTCGGGATGCTGATGCTTAGCACTGGAGCTTAACCTACTGGACTTGCTTAGCCTGTCGTTCTGTAAACAGTGTATTTATTACTATTGGGGGGAAAAAAAATAAAAAGATGAAGCTGCTGGTTTCTCTTCATTGTGCTTCATGTTGATACTTTAAGCTCTGGGTTCTTTTTGTGCTTTGTAAAAACTTTTACTTATTTTCTCTATTTCCATTTGTGCTTTAGACTTAGCATGGTTCATTTCTTGTGTAAGAAGATTCTGCTTTTAGGTATTGATTCAGTTGTCCTAAATCTTTGAATCTTTGAATGTATGGTATTTTACTTGTATTGCTTTTTTTATGTTTATTTTTAATACAGGAAAGACAATTAAAAATACTGCTTGATGATTATACCAAAGCAATCATTTTATTCCTAATGTGAGGAAAGAAATTGTGTGATTAAAAAAAAAAAAAGTCAGGGTTATATTTATTGGGCTAGTATTGACAAACCACTGCTTTCAACAAAATTTGAAATTATTAAATTAATAGTTATTCTTGAATATGAATTGAAATGATTTTTTAAAATAAGAATAGTAACTTTTCCTTTCACTTTTGTAGGTTGATGACATTGGATTTTCTTTGAATCATCCTAATCAGTATTTTGCAGAAAGTCAAAGGATATTAAGTGGTTGTAGAGAAGTGAAGAAGGAACCGAGTCATTTGGGAAACTCTCAGCAAAGAAATAATAGTCAGGAAAGCGTGAATTCAAATTCTACTCCCACCACTTCAAATATGACTGCTGATGCAGAGCTGGAGGGACTGGAGGCATACTTCACTGAAGATTAAGCAACTATGGTAGTTTTTTTCTTTTTCTGTTCTTAACTGAATTAATGCTTTTACTAAGAAACATGCACTTCACTACCTAGAAGACACAAGCATTTAGCAATTAGTATAGGCTGATGGAAAAGGAAGAATGATGCTGAAGCTGTAATCTTGTGCAGTGCTTACTGTTGTTGCTGTAGAATACTATTGGATAGGGTATCTTGAAGGATGGGAAATGGGAAATTCCTTCCCATTTCTTAGGTGCCTTTTGCCTGACTTGCCTTTTTTGGTTTTGTTTAAGATGTATAATTATTTTATCCTATTTTGTGGTCATTTTTGTATATTATTAATAAATAAATTGCAAGATAAAAAATTGCAGTATTTTATTTTTAGCTGTCTTTATATGGCAATTAATTGAGACTTCTTCCTTGATCTTAACTACCTTCTGAAGCAGTGAACATGTTTTCTACACGAGGAGCTGAAGGAAATCAGCTTCCTAATTCGTGTACCTCAGCACTGAATTTCAAGAACTTGTTAATGTGCTTGAGGTAGAACCTAGCTAGAGTGTGCATGTTACCTGTGTAGTTGTATTATGCTAGAGGTTTTATTCTTTGCAACAGCTGACTGATTCAAACTATTAATGGTGTAATTGGACTTTTTCTTTTATTACTATGAAGATTTTGGACAAACCTTCAGTCTTTGCTTCTTGTATGTTGTATGTTCATTTAAGGGCATGTAACTTTCACATACCTAGTGCAACACTGGGTGTTAAAAAAAAAAATCTTTTGTTGTTAGAAGAGAATTGACTAGTAGGGTTCACTGTTCCTTAAATTATTCCTCATTTAATTAATGACTGCTCTGTGTAAAGTACCAGAATCTTACTCCTTGAATACCATATATTCAAAGGAGTTGTAGAAATCCATCCTGAAAAAGGCTGCACTCCAGAGACTGAAGTTTGAAGCAGCAAGGAGTTACAGACAGTGATGCTGGTGAAGCACCAGACAGCACTCCACTGATGTGTGGGACTGTTGGACTCCAGTGATGTGAAGGATTCTATGGAATCCACAGATGATTGAAGGATTTTCACCTGAAGGTTTTCAAGTGCCTTTGTAAGTGGTGACAGTGCTCTAATTTTGAATTGCTTCTGCCCTGACTCTCCTAAATGATGACATTGTCACTTTAATCACATTGCAGTTAAAATTCTTAGCACTTTCCTTACCTTTACTCTGAAATCTGTTACGTTGGGAATGGGGACTCCCTGTTTATATATCTTCATTGATTGTTACATTAGTAGAATATAATTATTTTTAGGAATTCAAACATAGAATTTAAAATAGGTCTCTGTTACAGGGAAGAATATAACCTCACTTATCCTCTGTTAAGTGGATAAATCTTAATCTAGAATGCAATGAACATAACATTATTTGACCTTCGCTAGTTTACTGCTGGTTTATGTCTCAGCTCAAATGACTTTGAACTGTATTTTCTATTTTCTTCCCTTTTGTTACCTGCCAGGTGAATTGCAAAAAATAAAATAAAATAAAATAAAATAAAATAGCAGTACATACAAATTAGTGCATACAGTTATAAGTAGCTTACAAAATGTAATTAATGTTTTTCTTTTTTGTCCTATTCAAAAACAATTTAAGGCAATTTATTTTCAAATTTTTTACCATCTTGAATTTGAAAGCAGAATATTTCTAATTTGTTTATTGGTAAAAACCCAAAATGAGAATATTCCCTCTCAGCAGCTGGACACTGAAGAGTTATTTGTCTTCCAGAGCTTTTGAACACTAACTGCCATGTAATTTAAATAAGAATCACTTGTTCCTCGATTGTAGAGCTGTTTGAGATTGGAAAGGCAAAATCAGTATGAATATGTAAATCAGTCATTTAGAAAAGCTTTTCCTGCATTGTTGTAATTCTGTTTCAAAATTACATCTAGTTAGAAGACAAAACCAAGTGAGTCTGATATGATCATGCAGTAGTCAAGAAAGAAGTACAAAAGAAACAAACTCTACTCTTTTACAGCTTGACAAGAACATGTATTTCTAAAGTAAAAGGCTGCAGATAGATCTGTTTGCAAACGTGCTCTCTTAGTCCTCCTTCCAAGAGGCTCTTTAAACTTCTGTTATACTTTGTGTCTTCAAGAAGCTCAAACTTTGACAGTGTGAAATTGTTGTCGGTGAGACACTTGTGTGTTCTGGGTCAATAAAGATGGTGTTAAGAGAATACATGGTTGCATTTCTGAGAGGATGCATGCAACTGTCCGTCACCAAAAGACTGCTCTGTTCAGCCATGATGTTCATGTGGAAAGTGCTCTTCTTTACAACATATGGTCTTAAATGTACCGTAATTAAATGTGGAGAATTCTTCAAAAGGAACATAGCTTGTCCCTCAGCATGCTCATTTGCTAAGATTTGTTTAAATCCCTTAAATGCTGGAGGATTTAGGGCATTTGAATTGGACAGAGGTTGTGATCAGTGTGTACAATTCAGTCCCCCAAGGAACATGAACTTGTATGTATGAAGGTAAATCAATTGGAAAATAGGAATAAAAATGCTTGGAATAACTTCAGGAGTGAACTGTAGCTCGGAAATAAGCACATAGATGGGTAAGCACTGACTTGTTAACAGAGAAGAAGTGTTGGAAGACTTCAGAAGTGGTTTTAGGGTAGATAAAATGTAGATCTATGCTGACACAACTTCCCTGTCTCCAGCTATTGATCTGTCATCTGTTGATGGAGAGCAGGACTTGGTGATCAGGCTGTAGCCAGCAGGAAGATGTATGAACTCCTTATATCCCTTGAAGCAAAAATGATAGGCACAGTGAAAATGTCACGGGATGCTGGGTCTAGCTGAAACAAAAAGACTCAGGCAAGTTGAAGATGCTTTGTCATGTAGTTGTGAACTTTAATTAAGAAAGGGAAAATGGGATCATGAAATAGGCATTAATATAGGAAAGTCAGATATGACAACCTTATTATTTATTTATCTTTTGGAAGAACATTATGCTCTACTAAGTATCAGAGCTGTATTATGGGAGGTGTTCTACAAGCAGAAGAAAGTCTTTGCCACGCATAATGCCAGCACTTAATGAACTATTAAGAATCAGGTTAGGTCAGTTCAGGAGGAGTGTCTTTGTGTCTTTGCTCCACCTGAACTGGAAAAATTGGTGCATGAGCTGCTGGATGAGGTGTAATGGTCTGTGTGGTTGAACTCATCAAAGCAGACACTCCAGTTGGCCTTTTTGGACTTCAAAGTCCGTGACGCTAGGATTTATTTTAATGTTTAATAGGAAACGAATCCTGAAAGCTGCAGAGCATCCTCGGTTCAGCTCTGATGTGTTGGGCAGTAGGCAGAAGCCAGCAAAGCAGGAAGACCTGCATCAGCAAAGCATGGCATGGCTGTACTGTGAGTCTTTGCAATGTCACTGCTTTTAGGGGAAAAATATGAGAAAAGGTGCTGAATAACATACATTCTAGTCTGATCTCTGCCTTTAGGAAATAAATAAAAATATGATGCCTATAAAGTTCTTCATTTCCTATAGCCTATATTTGCTGTTGCTACAGGGTTTTGAATGGAAGAGAATCCTTGTTGCTATGACTGAGGTGCTTCTTAGACTGTTCCTCTCTTACCTCTAGAGGCTGAATGTAGTAGTTTCACCTACAGCGGAGTACATTTTTCTCTTTATTATGATGCCCCAATTGGTAATTATAATACTATGCTTTTCAAGATCCGGCATTAAAAGAAGTGTAATTTTTCACAGTTGAAAGAACTTCTCGTTTGGATTTAGATCATGCCCTTGCTTCTTAGAATTAATCACAATGCTGGCACATCAGGGATAACAAATATACAAACATCTGAGTCAACATACACATAGGAAAAGGAAATTGCATGGAGTGTTTCAAATCAGTAGTAGGATTTGTAATACAAGTTGAATAATGTGTAATATAGTAGAATATGTCAGTAATGCAGATATATTTTGCTGAATGTAAGCATATATTAGGATGTGCAGTATAACTGTAGAATCATTACTCCTCTCTCTATTTCTATTCATTTTGTTCAGAAGTGATCCTTGACAAAAATATTTTTTATCTTTTTTACCTTCAATTAAAGAAAATTAGAATTTTGTACTGTGAACATTTCAAATATATACTGGAAAAATGCATTTAAATGTCCCTTTAAAATAAACCATCAATTTTTGGGGGGGTAGATATTCTATTACCTCCATTACTTTGGCTTAAACTGATTTTCATGAGTTAAATAAAGCCCTCTCCCTTAACCTTAACATTTTGTGGCGTGATTAAGAAATGCCATTTTATTCATTTTCTTTCCAAGCACCAATTAGGATACAGTTCTCACACAGTAAGCATTTTAAAGACTTCCAGAACTGCTCATAGACTGTATTAATTTAACTCCTCTCTTTGCCATCCTCCCTCAGCTGAAATGATGAGTGCATATAGAGGAAAAAATGTCTAAGCAAAATTGCAGTCAGTTTTCAGAGTTGTTTCCCTGTTTCACCTGGGCAGCCTCATGACAATATGTTTATACCTGTTCTAGATGCAGGGTTTTGCTTTTGATCTCCAAATTGTTTTCCCGCTTATGTAAATAAGTCTTTGGAAGGAAAAGCAAAGCAGCCTTGCTATCCACAGCAGAAATGCCCACAGTACAATACTCAGCTGGCCTAGCTGCTTCCAGGCTGAAAGCCACATAAAATCTGAAACACAGCCATCAAACAGGCACAATCCAAATTGGTTACTAAGAAGATCTGATGGGGCTGTGACGTGGGAGGGTCCTCTCTCAGTTTCTAGCATTTATTGCGCTTTATTGCTGCAGAGGAAAGAGCCCGTTGCTTCCTGGAGGTAGCTGAAAATTGTTCTGCAGCAGTGACTCTTGCTTAGGATGCTTTACTAGAGATCTGAGAGGGTAAAATCATCTCTGTACACCATATAGATGTATGCCATCTGTAAATAGTCCTGCTTGATAAATACTTTTTTATGACTGAAAAACATAGCTGTAGTGGTAACAAGCTTTTATTATTTTTGCAGATGCTGTTCTCGCTGTGTGGTCGACTTAGTCCATGCCAGGTTCAGTATTTATTAAACTGCCCATTGTGCAGAATTTAAAAGACATTAAACCCTTTTCTATAACAGAATTTAATCTGAAGATATTTCTGTAGCCTGAAAGAACAGTATCTTAAAAACAGAACTGCTATATGTAATGTTACTTGTTCAGATCTCACCTTTTTAACCATCATAACTGTAGAAAATGATTGCTAAGAACTGAGGTCATCCATACACCTGGAATAAAAGTCTAAATGACTGCATTCCAGCTTTTTGTAAAGACCATCTTTAACATTATCAAACTGATGCTATAAAGAAATCAGCAGGCTCTTTCTGCTTTACTGAGCAAGGTTTGTACTGCAGCTGGCATTAGCTGAAGTCCTCACAAAGCTGCGGTCCTGCATAGGAACACACACTTCAGGCTACTCAGAATTTTTCTGAGTGGAGGCTTGCAGCATTGGCTCCGCTAGGCTTGTGGGCCTTGTGCTGCACCTCTACCAGCTGCATGGAAAACTCAGAGATCTTACTTGAATTTTGATGCTCAGTATGTAGTTAAACAAGGACGTTTGATTGGGACTTCTGTTTTTCTTTCTGTGAAGCAGGGTCTGTTGTGATAATGGGAAATGTCTTCCAATTAAGAGGGGAGATGCAGATGGGACATAAGGGAAAAGCTTTTTACAATAATGGTGGTGAAGCACTGGAACATGTTGTCCAGAGAAGTGGTGGAAGCCCCATCCCTGAGACATTCATGTTCAGGCTGGATGGGGCTCTGAGCAACCTGATCTAACTGTGGGTGTCCCTGTTCGCTGCAGGGGAGTTGGACTAGATGGCCCTTAAGGATCCTTTCCAACTCAATTCTATGATTCTATTCCTGGGTACTTTTGAAGATTCTCAGATTTGTAGTTTTAATTTTCAGCTGTCACTAAGTGATTGTTTCATGAAAAGCTGGTGTTCTTTGCCCTCTGAATAGATGCCTTCGGTGTATCTTTTCAATGTGTCTTGGTGTTAATATCTTCGTTGTTCGCTGTGGTGCTAGTTTTGCATGCAAATATATGAATGAAGCTTACTTGATATCTACTCTCTGGAAATGTTTTTTGCTTGTGTGCATAATTTGCTGTGCTTCACTGAGCAGAACTTAGAGCGTAAATTAGTTGTGTGGCAGGACAGAGTCTGCAGATAACAAATGAGTAAAGTCATGGCTTTCTCTGTGTCTGCTTGCTCTGCTAGGTGGAAGACTGATGCATAATGAATGTGTATATACAGAAGTCATCTCTGTTGGACCTCTGTGGCTGGTAAAGCCTTCACTTTTTGGGTAGGTTGAGGACTGTCTGGTTTCAGTTGCTAATCGCTCCAGCTCTTGCTCATTAAAGTACTTGTTAGTAGTGAAAGGTGCCCAGCTTGTTCTTTGGAGTCACAGGATGGCTTTGGAATAGTAAAAGGAAGGGAGGGGAAGAAGCATCAACATATATATTTTCTGTGGAAATAGCTGGTTGTAGAGTAGTGAGCTAGGAGGGACATTAGCTGGTAGCTGCTGGTAGTCAAAAGAGCTGTGATAGCCATAGGAAAACAGAAGTTCTTGGGTAGGGCTTCTGGGGACTTTGGTTATAACTTACTTCAGAATTCAGTAAAAAAAACAAAAATCCAGTGCAGATTTTCTTTTTTTTAACCCATAGAATTGCTCTATCAAAAGAAGTGTGACTTTGAATATGGTTGTTTTGTTTTCAAAAAATAAAATCAAAAACGCATCTGTCCATAGGCAAAATGGTATTACGGGAACTACTCAGTATGTAGTGCTCACGCTTTTATAGGCTGTGGCTCACAGCCGCTGTAGGTGTGTGATTCAGACCCAAAAGCCTTTTACCTTTGGCAGGCAGTGGGGCTTTCCCAGTGTGTGCGCTCTCAGAGCAGGGCTTTGGTGGAAAACTCTCCCCAGATGGGTTTTTGATGTCAGCTTTGTTCTTCAAAATAGTTTTGGCTTAATGGAAATGTTGAGAACTTCAGGCTGTTCTGTGTGTTTTGTGCTCTTGGGATCTGGAAAAGGGGAAATGTGCACCAGGAACGTGTGGACACATCTGCTTCCACCATCAGTTTGTGAGAAGTCAAAAGCTGCTCAGAAGACAACTGCTTACCAGAGCTGCAATGTTTTGTCAACAGAAGTTGCCTGAAAAACCATTTGATCCCAAAGAGCACAATTTCCATTGGTCTGGAGATTGCTATGCTGTGACTTCAGAGCTCTGGCA